ACCACATTAAGGCATACGACCGCGATAGTCTTGATATTACGGGGGTGGGGGGGTTGGTGGTTTGTCGGGCGGCAACTGTACTCGAAGCAGATAAGGCGAGGGGGGGGGCGGGATGTGGTAAGCAAAGTATCCAGGATCCGTCCGCGAAGTTCGTAGTTTACATATGCACATCTACGGTTACAGGTATTCACTATCCCTATTAGGTTGGAGCAAAAGATATCAAAGTACAGTATCGCAACTTAATCCGCTGGCAGTGACAAGAATTACACTTTTGAGGTATAACTATGGACTATATACAAAACTAAGAGGGTGACAAGGTAAGCTTCGGTCTACCAGGCGAACATGTATCACACAGCATCACTCGGGTCTTAATCCTCCATCTCATCATCATCATCATCGCTCTCCCATTCCCCTTCTTCTCCCCCGTCCTCTCCGCCATCCTCCACGTCTTCACCTTTATCCATTCTTTCTGGAAGCTCCTTTTTAATGTTGGATAATATCTCTTTCGCATGATCCCTTATGCCTTCGTCCTCCCATTCGAGCGCGTTGTACAACTATCGCAGCAATCAGCCGAGTGCGGACCCTCGAGGGAGAAGGTAACTCACCAAAAGACAATTCTCCAACCACTCCCTCGCCGTCCCCCAACTCTCTTCCCACTCACCCCCGCCACCCTCCCTCTCCCTCTCCACCTCGCCCAGCAAGAACAAACACCACCCGCCCAAATACCACAAATCCGGCAACTGATCATCCTCATCCCTCAGCCTCTCCAGAACCTCCAAGGCAACCTCATACTCCCCCGTCTCAATCAGCAACTTGGAGAGGTTAACCCTATCCGCATACGGTGGCACGTCCTCATGCGCAGGGGGCAAGCCCCTCCACCCATCGAACGCCCTTCTCAGCGCAGCTACCGCGTCTCCAACCCTCTGCTGGGAAATCCGCACACTAGCCAGCGTCTGCAGTGCCACGGCGGATTCAGGCACTGCGAGCAGCGCCTCAGTCACGTAGCGCTCGCAGCGTGGTTCGGCGTCGGGGGACATGCACAGGTCGCTCATGTAGATCTCCGCCAGGCCGCACAACGCCGACACGAGCTTTTTCGCCAAGCCACGTTCGGCGGTGACGACGGGGTGCGAGGTGGTGGAGGTAGTGGATAGCCATCGCTTTATGATCTCCACGCCCCGCTCGTAGTATGCCACCGCCGTCTCGGCCGAGCTTAACTGTGCCAGCCAGAGGAATTTCTCGGGACCCGTACCCGCTGGCGACGCCTGACCTTCGGGATCTAGTGAGGCGGATTGGGAGAATGCGGCGAAGGCTGCCTCCGTGTCGCCGAGTTCTATGTGCGCCTCGCCCAGGAGGTCCAGGGCTTGTGGGGAATTCGGGTTTGTCTCGAGATACTTTTTCAGGAGTGGGAGTGCGGCGTCCGGGGAGGAGTTCTCGTGGAGGAGGGCAGTGGCCTCTATGAGGAGGCTCTCGTCCGGTCTCGCTATCGGCGGGTTGGAATTGGAGGTTGAGGGAGTTTTTGTGCTTGCGTGTGGGTTTGTCGAGAATGCGCCGGTCGAATTGAGGACTGATCTTTCTCGTTTGCCGGATTTCGACTTTGATTTCGATTTCGATTTTTGTGAGCGTGTTTTTGCCATTGTTTTATTGTTTCCCTTCGGTCGGCTGGGATGTGTGAGCAGCGGTAGATGTGTAGTGCTGGTATCCACCTGTAAGTATCAGAGTTGAATCCTAGTCAAACCCTGTCCCTCGATTTCTTTTTTTCCCTTTTTTTCTGCGAAACCCAATTGCCCCTCCGCACTAAACAGGCAATGATCTGCAGCGCCAATGCTCGCCCCGCCATTTTCTACTCGAGTAGTGTCAACCAAGAATAAAGTTAATTCACTCAGGAGGAGCAACTTAACTACTGTGCTGCTACTACGATACCACACTCGCTATCTTTCATACCCACACCGGTACGAAGAAAAGAGAGAAGCGGGACACAAAAATGGGAGTCGAAGAACAACTTCAAGAGATAGAGGTTTTGCAATCCATTTACCCCGATGAGCTCACTCGTGCGATGTCTTCCTTTCCCCCACAATTACTACTGGGAGAAATGTTTCTAACAATTGACAGAAATATCGGACACCTCATACACCATTCGTCTAGCCCTTGAGCCGCTTAGTATTCCCGGCCAGGATCATGAACCCCGTTCGTCACACATACACTCCTCAACCCCCCCGCTAGCAAATTTACTTAACTATCGCGCCCACAGCTATCCTCATGCTCCACGTCGAATACCCCACAACATATCCCGACGTTCCCCCCACCCTCGATCTAACCCTTGACGCCAACTCCCCATCCTCAAGCCTCTCATTCCCGGACGACAAGAACACCCTCTTATCCGCGCTCTCCCCCACCATTGACGAAAATCTCGGCATGGAAATGATCTTCACACTCACCACCACTCTGAAGGAGTCCGCGGAGGAGATGCTCAACACCCGCGCTCAGGAGAAGGAGAATAAGCGCGAAGAGGAGCTTCGAAGAGAGGAGGAGAAGGAGATGGAGAAATTTAGGGGAACCTTGGTCACGAAGGAGAGGTTTATGGAGTGGAGGGATAAGTTCTTTGCCGAGATAGAGGAGAATAAGCGGAGAGAGAAGGAGAAGGAGGATGAGGAGAAGAGCAAGAGGGGTGGTAGTGGGGGAAGTGCGGCTAAGGAGAAGAGGATGACCGGTGAGAATCACTCTTTGCCCATCTCCTCTACAAGAAACACTCTGTGCAGAAGAGGAAACAAGCTTTACTTACGAATGTATTGGAACCCAAATAGGCAGAGAACTCTACGAAAAAGGCTTGGTCGGCAATGTCGAAGACGAAACCGAAGACGGAGAAGCAGTAGATCTATCACAGTTGAAAGTGAAGGAGTAAAAAAAAAAAAAAAAAAATTTATCCATAGTTTTTTTCTCTTCCTTTTTTTTTTTAAAAAAAAAAGAAAAAAAATCCACTACAGGCTACCCCCCAACTGTAGGGCAAAAAAAGAAATAAGCTGTATTCAACTACCCGTTCTTCCACATATCCCCCTCATCGAGATCGTCCCCGAGCCATTTTGTAGTAAACTTCGCGTCAACGACCTTCTCCCTGGCCGTCTCGGCCTCCTCCTGCGCGCGCTTGCTGGCCCAGTTCGGTACTGGCGTGTTCTGCTGCGAGGCCGGTGGCGTTTGCTCCACGGGCGGTGAGTGCAGGGTGAGGTTCTCGGTCGGGTTCGAGAGCACCGCGGGAGGTGTTGACGGGGTGCTAGAGGGGGAGTCTTGCATTTGACTGTCTTCACCGTCTGCGAGGGGGCGTGGGGGTGGATGTTAGTTCGTTTTTTAAGTAGGGGTGTCGATGGGTAGCTTGAATTGGGGGTGGAGAGGGAGAGTACCGGAGAGGTTTGCCATTTTTAGTGATTGTTTGGTTAATTCTGTAGTTTGCGGGGGAAGAGGATGGAAGTGAGCTTGATCTTTGTCACAGGCTAGTCCAAGACATGAGGCTCTAGTTTCTTGGCAATCCCTTATCAGATCGTAGGATCTTCACAACAAGACCCTTGAAACAACCCAACAGGATGTGAAGTTATCATACAGGAAACCCGAATCCCAGCCCCCATTGCATCGGATACTTTTTCGAAAAGTTTCTGAGTTTTGGAACCCCTACTCGTATGATACAGCATTGCTTAAGACATTTCTTCCGGGATCAAAAATAATATCCATCTACCTATCGCATCACCGTACCGGTAGCCCGAGTTCCCCGTTCAGAACCTTAACATATAAGGAGGCAATTCTGGGTCACTTCAACACAGCACAAAAAAGTCTTACTTTGTGTTCGTCATCCAGGATGTCGAAGGCCGAGGCTATGCGGGTGCGACCGCAGCTATTGGCTCTTTGGGACGTATGATACGATACAGTACAACTCATATGATGTGATAGGCCATCACCGCGCAGGAATAAACTATCGTAGTCAATTATTTTTCGATCTATGAAAACTTTCATGTAAAATATTAGTATTCAGCTAATCCTCTTATAAGCCAGAATGAAAAAGTAGAGAGCAAGACACATCAGTTCTCCAAGGTGAAAAACAATTTTTGTCGTCAATTGGTTATGTAGTTCAGAGTTCTCGACTATAGCATCATTGTGCCTTTCCGCAAGAAAAATCAGATGGGAACCAATTATCTTACATTATCCATGAATCGCCCAGCTTGCAGTCGACTATAATAAACGAACTGTTCAAGTGCTTCGTCATTGCATATCCTAGATTCCTTAGGTAAAGTTAATACCATGCCCAGCCTAAGGAGGAGGAGCTGAATGGATACGCGGAGAAAGGGCACGAGCAAAAGTCAAGTCAGGCTCATTAAATCAGATTTTGTTATGATGTGCTCATGAAGCGGTCTCCCACCATCACACAGTGTGAATAAAAGTATTCATCATTTTGGCAATTTGCTGTAAAATAGAACGGGAAATGTGGAAGAATAAAATGTGTACCGCACCTTTGTGAAGCGAGCATGCTAGTAAGCAGTTTAGGCTGCCCAACAAGTCAGCAATGCCGACCGTGCGAATAAAACGACCCAACCATCAAGAGACGGATCCACGAATTATCAGCTGACGATCGTTTCAACAAGTATCTTCTCCCGGCAGAACCCCGATTGTACAAGTGGGGCCGCTGTTACCACAAGTGGTGAGAGAAGAAACAGTTCTGCCCGCCCGTTCGTTCAAAAATTCTTCATAGTATCGGTGACCCATCCCGAACTGATCGGTAACATAAAGCTAGGAGAATGGTACCTAAAATACACGTTATCATTAGTTAAGACCAATGAGAACGGGAGAGGACAATACGAAGAAGTGAAATTGGAATGATGTGGGGGAACGATCACTGATCAGACAAGGCTGAAACTTATATAAAAGACAGGTGCTCTACATGATGTATTAAGAAGGAGCATAGCATATTGTCATACATATCATCATTGTAGCAATTGCTCATAGGCCATGTAGGGGAAAAAGGAAGGAAAAACGCCAACCTTATATAATCTATCTCCATCATACTTGAAAAATTTGGCTAAAAACCTAAATGGGCTGATCAGCAAGAAATCGAGCTAATGCTGAGCATCGGAAATAAGCATTAGGAAATGACTGGATCAGATTAATTCTAGAGCATAATTTTGAATCCTCACTGAGCATAGGAGTTGGATTGTTCGTGGAAAAGAGTTTTTCATCTCAAGGCAGAAGTAGCAGGAAGCAGATTAAGAAGGGGATGTGTTTACCGTTCAACCACGATAGATCAGAGCCAAATAGTATAAGTATCGGCGTGCTGTACCGGTATTGTTGTTACTATTGACATTGATGGTTGGCGCTGCTGCGTGATGGGGGGAGAGGAAGAAATCAAAACCAATACCGTGCCCGTACGTTGTCATAAAATTTCCGCGATCCCAAGCCAGGGCTAACCCTATTTCTGTCTTGGCATTGTATCGGATGGCTGAGCCCCAGGGAGGGCCAAGGTCCCCCATTTCAGGTTTAGCATGAACAATCAGCCACAGCACCGCCCCGGGGCTCAGCTGGCTTTAAGGCTCGGCTCCCCGCATTTTCTCTCCTCTCCTCTTTTCTCCGCACTTAGAGTTTAACTCTCGAGCGAACTCCAATACTGAAAAAAAAAACCTTCACCATGGCGGCTGGGGTTCACATACCCCTCCGGTTCCTTCGGTAAACATTTGTTCTCCTTAAATCCTCCTATTCCAAGAAAAACTAGGCTCATGACGATCCACTTATCTAGGGCCGCGATCAAAAAGGGCATAACTGTCCTTAAACAGCGGATTCCTACAACAAATGCCCAACAAACCTCACGTGTTCTCGAACCAGTCTATGCTCGTGTTCCAACTCAGAGTTCCCGCCTTCCATACGGACAACGCGTGAAGGTTGCTCAACGATGGTATTCTACCTCCAACAATGTGCTCTGCGAGGCTGGCTTCAAGGATGTCGTTCCAAAGGTCGCTAAAGGTCCTGTTCGTCACGCTGTCGGTAGATTGACCACTACAACTCCTTTCGCTTCCACTCTCCGACCGAAGCTTGTCGGCGGCGCATTTCCCCGGAGTTCGGGGGGTTACAGCTTGGGTGGATCAGCTCGCTACTTCTCGCATACGCCTACTGCACCGGCTGAGGTTGTAAGCCAGGTAGTCGCTGCGATGAGAGTTCTAGCAACGAAGGGAAAGATGGAAGGATTAAACCATGGGACCAACGGAAGAGCGGCTGTTCGCGCTCAACTTGCGGCGGGATTGGTGGATGAGAATGCTCCCGGTGCTCATGTCGACTTCTACCTTTCTCCCACCCTCACCTGCCTTTCTCCCTTGAACGCCAAACAGAATTCTCTCGAAGATGAGGGCTTTATGGAGAGCCTTGGTGCTGACTTTGGCACCATGCTCGGTGGACTCACCGCTATCTACTCTGATATCAAGAAGCTCAGTCAGCGCGGGAACTTGCCCATCACTCTTGCTGGGCCCACAGGTGACATCATACGTGTGCACTTTAAAGGACGGAGCGGAGCAGATGTTGAGGCTATCTGTAACGAACTCGGGATAAGAAGGGGTGTGGTTTTTGAAGAAGAGTGCTTCGCTATGGGGCTCTTTGCCCCTGAGCACGGTGAACCTGCTGGGTCGTGGAGAAACATGATGAGCGACTCACCCCCCGCCTCTTCAACCTACTCCGAGGATGGTTTCGATGATGCCCTTTCCGAGGCTGAAAGCTACGGGGCTAGCGATTACTTCGACATCGACGCAGACGCTAGTTTTGGCACGTCGACTCCCGGCGGAAGTAGCGCTGGAGCCCATGATGGTCCAGGAGACGTTTACAGGTTCCTGGAGAATTTCATCGAGTACCGCAGCGACTATAGCACCTACTAGCCGTTTTCTTCCATATTTTGTGAGGTGGTCTTGGAGAATTATGGTGTTTGTTTCAGGACAAATTGTTTTTTAGTGAAGGGGTTTCCGGTTTTACTTCTTGCTTCTCAAATCGGCATTCGCCAACCAATTTCTTTAGCCTTTGTCGTTTTTGTATGGTATACTACCGGTATTCACATGTTCTCTCCCCTATAAATTGTAAACCCTTATTCGCAGTGACCTTTTTAATCATGACCAAGCCTTTCACTCGAACTCAACTGAAATTGAACCAATTGAGCCGCCCTACCGTATTGTGCTGTGGGGGACCACTCCGGAAAGATGTTGAGGGGAAAGCTCTTCCTTGGAGAGTACTCGAGTAGAGAGGTCATTGAATACAGGACAGAGACCTATTGGCCGCGTCATAAAGTTGTCAACGCGATTGGTCGTTACGTGCCCATAGGCCATCTTTGTGTCCCACATTATGATATCACACTACGGGACCAGCAGGGCCCCACTCGGGAACTCGAGCCCCTAATTTGCTCCGGTAGGCCTTAGCTCACGATAGTATTATATTGTGCTCACAATAAAAAATTTTCTTTCTCATTCAGGTGCTGTGCGAGTAACCTTTCCTCTCTTCCTCACCTGTATTCCGCCCGCCTTTCCGAGGTTGCCGTAGCTTATTTTTGGCAGGGGCTGGGGGTCCACTCCCGGCAAGCAAGAAAGAGAGCGTAATGCTGGGTTGTGGGCATAGCTGTACGAGTAAGCGTGGTGGTGTGTGAGCGTGTGTGTGTGGGGAGGAGAGGAGGGGGATGATCGATGTTCTATTTCCCCGCTACGTCCCCGTCTTTATAAGGCGAAAGACAAACAGCCAAGACTCGCCCATTGATTCTCTCCCACACCCCAACTCCCATACGGATAACCCCAGTGCCCGTACCTGCTAATATGGCAAGACTGGATGAGCAATCCATATTCCGACTGTAGCTCCCCTACGGTTTTGGTAAAAACAAAAGTCCATTGGGCGGCGTTCGAGTTGAGCTATCGTGAGAAAAGGGCAATGCTAAAATATTTCCCTCACGACAAAGTAACGGGAAAAAAAAAACCCCTTCTTGTGTACGACCCTTATATGACCATCAGATGCGTATTGCACGAGTACAGAGCCTTTACAGAACAATTATCGCGCGGCTGAATCGAAGCCGGACACTCTAAGAGTAGTGATTGGCGAACGGGTAAACGGGAAGGATCGGGTATGCACCGAGGAATACTATCAATCCTCGGGTATAGTGCATAGTGGTGGCGTAAGCGTAAAGGGCATCTGCGCAGGTATGACATACTGTTCGATTATGCCGCTTGGGCTCTGGAATCGCTCTCTTGAGTATGGAATTGGAGATATGACATGAGATACCGGTAAGTTATTGATGGAGGTGGAAGGAGTTGCGGGTTGGCCGGTTACGATGTATATTCACGAAGCCGGCCTTTCTCTAGTATCATATTCGGCTACAAACTCAGCTTGGCTTGCCGATGACTGCGGTACTAGGGTGTCCGGCTTCGGTCCGGCCGTGCGGGCAGTCTCCCGTATACGGTACCGGTAGTCCGACTACGGCACCGGGGGATAGCTAGTCCGGGGGCCGCCAGTTTATAATTGGCCAGAGCCACCGGCCACATACCGGTGAAAGCGTTATGTGACAAATTTTGGAACCGGCGATGCCCCGTACTGTATCATACTGTAATTCAAACTCTCAGGATAGGGTAGGTAATGTTCACCAGCTACCCCCACCGAGCTTCACCGGGGCACAGCTCATAAGTTTTGTATGTTCCACGGACAGAGAGTGCAATGCCCCAGGCCGGTGGAGCATCCTATACAAAACCCATGAGCCGTATGATACCTCCGTACACACGAGAGACTCCCATAAAAAGGGGTTTAAAAGCAGAACAAACTCATCTCCAACACAAACTCCCTTTCCTCCTTCCTTTCCCTCTCGTAAAGAGGCTATCAACACTCTAAACATTCGCCCACGTGACTCTGACTACCCGAGGATAGCCACCCTACCAGCTCCACGATGACTACAACCCTCAAACCTCCCCAGGAACTACCTTACGGCAGCGCCCACCCCCTCCAATCTCTTGATCTCTACCACCAAAACCTCGACCCGAACACCTACTGGGTGATGTAAGCCTCCCACCTGCCCCGTCCCTCGACCTTCCCTTCTACCCTCTTCAAAATCCAACTAACAAGCAAATTCCCTAGTTTCATCCATGGCGGCGCCTGGCGCGACCCCAAAATGACCAAATCGAGCGGCCACCCCCTCATTTGCTCTCTTCTTTCCAAATACCCTCACCTCAACGCTGCAAGCATAAATTACCGCCTAAGTCCCCACCCATGCTACCCTTCCAACGGCAACGTCGCCAGGCACCCCAACCATATCGATGACGTCCGCCTCGCACTATCATTTTTGCAGGAGCGTTATAGCATGAAGAGAGAGAAGAGTGTGCTCGTGGGACATAGTGCCGGTGCGTACATGGCGTTCCAGATCGATGCTGGCTGCGGAGCGGCAGCAGCAGCGGTGGTTGGGGTTGAGGGAGTTTATCACTTGGGGAAGTTGGTGGAGGAGTATGCAGATTATGAAGAGTTTGTTGGAGGAGCGTTTGGTGAGGGGTGGAAGGGGGTTGATGAGGAGGTTTTGGTGGAGGTAGAGGATGGGAGGGATGGGGGTGGAAGGGTTGTTCTCGTGCACAGTTCCCAGGATGGGCTGTTGAGCTTTGGACAGTCGAAGTATTGGGCTGGGGTGCTTAGAGGAAGAGGAAGGGTTGTCAGGGAGGTGTACGATGTGGTGGGGAATCACAACGAGGTTCTGGAAGGCGCAGAGCTAGTTGAGGTTGTTGAAGAGGAGTTGAAGGGGTTGGAGGTGGAAGCTGGGAAAGGGAATTGAGCAGCTAGCACAGGATAGGAGAAAGGCGAGTGATTCAAGTAATTAATAAAAATGAAATGGTTCCGCGCCCCTAAGCGAGTTTCAACAGACAAACAATGGCTATTACGTTCTCACACGGCTAGGTTTTGGACGATGGGAACAGCACTTATACCGGTATTTGCATCTGATGGAGGTCGGCTATGATCGTGCGCAGATGTGGTCCTAGGAAGGTATGTTCTGGTTCATCATTTCTATAGAGGTTGCTAGCTACCGGTTCACTTTATAGTGAAAACTCTGCTCGTACATGTGAGCCCTAAATCCCTGCTATGCCCTATACCTCCATGCGTGCCCTAATATGCTTTCTCCAGTGCAACATACTACTACTGGGATTATTATACCATCAGCATCCTACGTATTATATATCATGCCCACGCATGTTCCAGAATTGGTATTAACTAGGCCGAACCCGTCCAACCCCGGTTTCCTCTATCAAAACCTTACCAGCTGCTGAAAGCCACGTTTCTCATCCAATACCAGTACTCAATTAGGAAAAAAGTTGTTAGGAATGAGGAGTAGTAACTTCTGGATAGCTCTACAGAGCCTTCCGCAATTATCTCAAAAAATTTTTTTTTTGTTTAACCAGAGGGCTAGTTTCAGATGCCTAGCACCGTCTAGTCAGCGGCTCCGTGTCTCGGCGAAAACGGTATAAGAAAATATAATAATAACGCCTCTCCGCGGGGAATGGTTAAGGGAATCACCAACGGTTAACTGACTGCCGGTATGGGCGGCCAACCGATTTGGCTACCACAGAGACTTGCTGATATTCCCGGAAAAGGGCAATTATCATGCATTTTCTCCTGTCTTTTGATTTGTTTGTTTGTTTGGATGGCATACCAACAGCACCGGCCATGTTAGAAATGACTTCCCTGCTTGCAAGTGAGTTGTCATTCTGGGATGTGCTGACTAATTATTTCACAAGTACCTTACTTGTGCCTATGGTACTGTAAGTACTTGTGCGAGTAGTATTAAGTGCCATACCGTATTTGCGCTTGCGATTCGCCATCCCCATGAGGTTGCTGATCTGAGTTCAAAGAAAAAATCTCTTAAGAAGGATTAGCGCTTTCCTGACGCGGTATAGCCTGAGCGCTTTGGCCTTGTTCGCTCTCATGAACTTGGTTTTTTGTAATTCTATCAACTTTCTAAACCGAACCTATTGGGGGCTGATGACACTGCTTATAGGGACTGGATAATCCCATGGAATAGCAAGAGTATCATACGTTGTCCAGATACAGGTACAGTATGACTAGCAGCCCTCCCCCCGCTCTGGTGGGTTGCGGCTTCGCCGCTTTTTTTATTTTCTTTCTTGCTTGCTTGCATACCGCCCGGCCCTCCAGGGATGCCTGACTGTTGCCGGGCGGGGGGGGGATTGGCCAAGCAACCAAGGCGCGTTGCTCTGGTTAAGTCCTAATATGTACTGAGCAGTCTAATCAGATGTGCGCAATCAGCTCCATCTCGTCAGACGATCTGATGATCTGATATCCCGTGATGACATGTACCCCTGTAGTATTTTCTATCACAACAGGATTTTGCTTGTGCGACTATCCATAACTTCTCCCTCAGACTTTCAACTTCAGACAAAAACAACCCGCTCGAGTGTAGATTGAGGGGATGCTAGTATTAGGGTGTTAAGAAGTCGAGGTGGTGATGTGTTGCTTCCTCGCTTATCAGATCCTCAGATCGGACACGAAGTCATTATACAGTACATAATAGATACCGTACTCGAGTACCGGTAGCTCCACAGCACGAACACCAGCGGCAGCAGCGCTGGCGCAACACCACCACCATCACCAGCGGCTCAACACCACCACAACCACTAGCAGCAGCGCAGCACCACCACAGCCAGTAGTAGCAGCGCAACACCACCACCGCAACCACCAGCAGCAGCGCAACACCACCATCATAACCACTGGCAACAGCGCAACACCACCACAACCAGCAGCAGCGCAAAACCACCACCACAACCAACAGCAGCAGCGCAACTCCACCACCATAACCACTAGCAGCAGCGCAACTCCACCATCACCACCCGCAACAATACCATCAACAGCAGCAGATATGACTGACTTATTAACTGCGAAAACCCGGAGTAACGCTACCGGTACTGCGGTCGGATAAGGTATGGCCCAACAAGCAGGTAGGGCCTGCGAGAAAGTTTCCCCTTAGAGTTTGACTATGGTACTAATTTTCCTCTGGGAGCTACAGTTATTGGACTACAGAAGGGGGGGGGGGATGAATTGAGTGGTGATCAGTCAGAGCCGCGGATGGAGACTATCTCTACTACCCAAGTTACAATGAGGGCGAGTGCTTGATATAAATGGATGGGGTTTTGTGGGTTATGTAGGGAAAAGGCTTGAGATGGGAAAGGAGGGGTTATTCCTTCTCTCCTCGCTCACGCACGCCTTTCATTGGCAAACCTTCTATTCTCAGAATTACTGAGAGCCATTTTTTGATGCGGGTGGGGGAGAAGAAGGGAGTGAGAGAGGGCCTCTTCTTGCACCGCGGCGCACTGCCTATCTTGTGGGCCAGAATGTCGTCTGGTGGGAAGCGTTTTGTGGAGGTTGATGGACCTCAACATGCATAACCCTGTTTGATTCCTTGTCACCGGCTGTCCCCCATCTGCGAGAACGGGTTGGGCAATCGGCTGGCGGCGCCCTAGCTTAAGTTTGGGCCTGTTATCTCCAAACCGCTACTGCTCCCTGACAAAGAGGTTTCTGAAGAGGTTTACTCGTCCTGTTGTGACGTTTGTAAAACAGTGTTATTGCATACAGCATTGACCAGAGCCTTATAGTTTTGGTGGTGTGTAAGAGTAGCCTGCCTCGCAAATGTCACGATGTTATAGGCGCTCTTACTTTCCTATTAAGCCGCACCCAATCCGACTTCTCTGATACTTCCGGGTTTTCTGGGCGATGCAGGTATCCCTCAGAAAGTTTATGGACAGTTGTTCTGGGTAACTGCTCCTCGTCTGCTTTTTTCTTCACCCAAGGCTAGTGCAACGGGGCTATAAGGCCCCATGCTAGCCCACAGCACACATGCATATCGGCCAGCTAGACTTGTCCGGTGGACTTATACTCATACTCTAAATAGTACCATTCCGCCCCCCCACTTAATTCTTCCCTCCACCTACTTGAGCATACGAGACAGGCTTACCATTACTCCTCCGATTCTACGAAACTCCCACAGTTACTGGCATACCTGAGCAGACTATCCCAAAACCTATTAACGCCCCCCCTCTACATACTACACCCCGCACGCAAGGTGTAGTATCAGTAAATCCCTCGCTTGGTGGTCGTCATCTTAGGCCATCGTCATGCCGGCCATTTCATGTTTTCCGACCAAAATCCTGCTATCACAATTCAACAAACGCGACCACACGCAAAACCAAGGAGGGGAGGATAGTGATGTCGAAGGTCCTGTTGCGATTGTCGGACTTGTTATAGCAGCGCTTACTTTACTTGTCGCGATGATACCTCTCTTTCGATGCCCACGATTCCGTCGTTGGGTGTCCTCCTGCTCGACTTCATCGTTCGTCAGAGTATACCTACCCCTCCTCGTCCCCTTAGACATTTCACTTAACTTATCCATTTATAGTTTTGCGGTTCTGCACAGAAAGCTCTCGGAGTTATCACTCTTCTAAACCCTCCGCCGACAACCACCGTTGAGGACAACTCGAACGCCATCCCAGCCGCCGAGAGTCCTCTACACGGCCGAGCTCCAATACACAATAATTATCCAGATGTCCGCCCCGCTAGCACCCACTCTGCCCCCCCATAATACCATAATGTCACCACTCGAGAATATGGTAGAGTACCACAAGTGGAGGAGCCACTGGGGCCAACAAGACATGAGCCGTAATCACTAGGCGGTTTTCATAAAGGTAGGCATTTTGTCAGGTTATAGAACCCGGAGTACTTTGATCTCATGTAAGTAGAAGCTTATCTGGAACCTTTCACTTTAGGTTTGGTACTGCACGCACATGATATCTTTGTTTCTGATATTTCCTATCGAATTGCTCGGGCCAAATTCCGCCACCTATTACCATTTGTGGGAAAAGGGTAAGGCGTTAGCAGGTCGGTTGTTTTTCTATGTTATAGTGTTACGATAGTGCTTTAACCGGACAAGATACGCTACGGGATGCTTGTGCTAGTTCCCTTATCTAGTTTCTTTAATCCCGGTATTTTTGTACTATCAAATACTCCATGAAAGTTTTCGCTTAATACACCTTAGTATCATACCATGCGAGTACTTATATGCGGCGCATCCTCACAGGTGCTGATGAAAGTGCTGGACCAGAACCCCAAGTGATTACGGTCGCAACTTTTGTGGATGACGATGAGCAAAAATGTGAAGATGGGGGTCTGCAAACTGCCGGTAGATAGTTGTCATAAGGGTAGTAAAAAAAACCTGCGAAAGAATCCGAAAGCCTAGGAATGTAAAGGGATTGTAGTAAAATACATGAGGGGGAAAACCAATATCACGTACACCGACATTGCTGCCAGGATCGCAGCGACTCCGTTTGCTATGGGAAGTCACAATCTCTTGAAAAATTCTGGTGGAAATGTTTCTCGGGGGAAAGTTTACTTCGGGTATCGTAGGTAGTTTTGGCTGCTTCGGCATCTCCCTGGGGGCATAGAGCAGAGGTACGGTCCTGCCTTTTTTCTCTCGGGTGCCGTATACTTGAGCACCGGCCAACTGGCCAAACCCACAGCACAGTCAAAGCCATCCTACATGGGTATTGGCCAATCGGAGTGCGACTATCATTGAGCCCATTCTGGGAAAAAATGCTGTTGTATCGCATGAATCGCGGTCTTGGCTGCATGCCTTACTCGAGCAGAACCTTAAATGATACAATGTCATGGATGGATAAAGGTATATTGAGTCGAATGATTGGACCGTTTGCTAAATATATGATATTATTATGATATGTCGTTGGAGCCGCGTCCTATAGAGAGCTCCGGCAGCTCTTTTTGTTTTTTTCTTTTTCTTTCCTTTTATTGCTGTGTCATTCACCCCTTTCACAAAGTAGGAAATTCTCCACTACATGGCACACGGTTTCAATCACTTGAGATTCGGCGAGTTCATGCGGCACTTGTTTTATTTCGGATACAGTAAGCTTTACTAAAATTTCCCAGATTTCCGCAAACACTTTAGAATATGATACTACCAGAGGTGCGAGCTGACTCATCTTGAGGGACGTGGAGGTTTCGCGGTCAGGTGTGGTTTCTTATTTGTCCTGAATTCCTTAACAT